TTTTTTTTTTTGGGGGGGGGGGGGCAAGGGAGAGGGTTATACTTTGTAATTGTATAACTTTTTTTGTCGATAGGACATACACCGGTTGAAAGTCACTTTTTTCTTAGTATTTTTTTTCTTTTGTTTTTATGTTTCGATTGTTTACTGGACAATATTTTAAGTTTAAAATAGAACAGAAAAAAGTTACAGTTGTGCTTTAAAGTTTAGGATTGTTTTTGTTGTTTTTTCTTTTTTGTCTTTCTATGCCATTATGCTACTGCTGTTGCAAAGAAAATTTAGAAAAAAAAAAGTTTGGGGAGGACTTTTATTTTATTAGTTTGTGTTCACATCTCTTTTTTTTACTTTCTTAACCCTGTTGCTTCAGAAAGATAAAGATGAAACCGCAGTTATCGAAACTATCTGCTCAAGTAGATATTATATCATTTTTGGTTAACTTTTTCTACTGTTAGAAATTTTGTAAATTTTCGTGTTTTTTTTATTTTATTTTGTTGATTAATGTGTAAAAGAAGCAGTGGAAAGCAGTGATAATTTGAAGCTCATTATTTTTGTAAAACTATAACATTAGGTCGGACGGCAAAGTAAAGATTTAAAAAAGCTTTTGAAAACAAGTAACGGTGGGACGGAGAAAGAAAAGGTGCTAAAAGTTGCAACTACTTTTTTCTGCTATAAGTTTTACTTTTATAGGAAGCAAATTTGTTTTCTACTTATTATCAGTGGAACGGAACTGTTGGTGAGTAAGTTTTACTTTGCCATATTCCGTCATCGGTTCTGGTATATAAGAATTTTTTTTGTTTTTCTAGGTATATAAGAATTTCTTATTTTTGCCGAGGTGTTAAGATACGGCTTTGATCTGTTTTATAGAGTGGTCATTACAAATAAAATGTTCATTTTTCATATCAACGATAGTTTTAATGTTGGTTTTTTGCTGTTACACATCTGCCCTAGCATCAGTTTTTCTTGCTGGATTTGTCGCTGTTAATACCTTAGAAATCAGTATACTAATGTATTCGGTAATTGTCTCGTGCTTATTGTCTAGATGATACAAATACAAAAGTTTTTTGCTTTTTTTTTTTTACATTAATCTACTTTTTCACTTTTAACTAATTTTTCTTTTAATGTTTGGATGTCGACAATAAGATGAGAAGGTGGCTTAGAGGAAACGGGTCAAAAGAGAAGAGAAGAGACTAAGACAGGGTAAAATCACATTTTGAGCGTTTTTTCGTTTTTCAGCTTTTTTTAATTGCTTTTCATTTAAACGAATTCTTTTTTTTTATGTCGCTGTTGTTTTCAATGAAGAAAAAATTGAATCACTTGGTAAGCTTTAGTAGTAAACGAAACTACGCGTAATGAACAAATAAACTATTCTATGTGCTGAAACAAGAAAAGTGTTGGTTAGGGCTAGATGCTCTTTAGCAGTAATCAATGTTTTATACCACCTTTTGTCCAATGTTGCTTGTCATTCGCCCAATTTACTCGCTGATAGCAAAAGGCTGATAAATCGGATGTCGATGTGACAGAATTTGGAAACACATGTCTCTCTGAATGCTGCTCCTTCTTCTTCATCTTCTTCTGCTGCTGCTGCTGCTGCTGCTTCTTTCTCGTTGTCTTCGTCTTCTTCATTTTCATCGTTGTACGTCGTCGTCGTCATTGTCGTTGATATCAACTGTTATTTTTGTGTGTGTGTGTGTGTGTGTGTGTGTGTGTGTGTGTTTGTGTGTGTGTGTGTGTGTGTGTGTGTGTGTGTGTGTGGTGTGTGTGTGTGTGTGTGTGTGTGTGTGTGTGTGTGTGCGTGTGTGTGTGTGCGTGTGTGTCTGTGTCTGTGTTAATATTTGTATTATTCGTTTCAGTCGTCGAGTGTGCTGAATACACGAACACTGGCGATTAGATAGATAATGATCGAATCGCGACCAGAGCTGTCGTCATCGACAGTTCGGCGGTCTTGCGGCAGCTCAACATCTTCAGATACCCTCTCGGACGATAGTTTCGGTAAAGTCTTTTTTTTTCCCATTCCTAACTCTTTTCGTCATATTTTGGTGTTGATTGTTGCTCGATGCGTTAGTTCTTCTTGTTGCAGTAACAGAGCGGAGGGGAAGCGGTAACATGTGAGTAGTAGGGACAGGAGTAGTGATTTACAGTTAATTTGTTCGCTAATTGATTTTGACTGCTCTTATGTGTAACCGCTTTATTAGCAAAATTGAAACGTGGTTTTCAATCTTATTTTGAAAAATATACGCCAACGCTTTTTCGAATCTGTTTCATACGATTAAAATTAACAAGACAGTCTTATTCTTATTCTTATTTTTACTCTTGATCTTAATCTTTTTTTTATTCTCATTTTTATCCTTTATTATTATTATTGTAGTTGTCACCATTGTTATAATTATTATTGTCATGGATATCATTACTCTTATAATTAATGTTGCCTCTACTTTGTGTCGTGAGAAGAGTTTATACTGAAAAAAATGCTGGAAGATGCGAAAAGAAAAGGGAGTAAGAAATTTTCTAAATTTCAAGCAGTTTTTTCTTCAAAAAAATATTTTTGCATTGTTGTCGGTTCCAGAAATAATTTTAACTAGCGAGGAGAGACGGTCGGCATTGCTCATAGTTTTTGAAGGGAGTACGCACTTATGCCTATACTCGAGAGATTACTATCTTTGTAAGGAAATCAATTTTTACATTCTTGAAATTTTGATTTATTGTCTCTTAGTAAAAAAACTTAGTTCTGACGTTGTTGTTTTTAAGGGGATGAAAAAAAGAAAAAATTGCTTGATAATTTTCGTCATCTTATTTTTTTTTTATTTATTTACATTTGACCGCCCACATGAAATGTTGAGTAATATCAACAAAGTTTTCCATATTGAACTGATGATGCACTAAGACATGCTTGACTCACTAGCTGACTTAAAAATTGAATTTTTTCAGATCTTTTTCATATTGCTCCTTTTTGGTTATTCTGCTTGGCTATAGCTGAGAAAAAAAAAAAATATTTGGAGAGGCTGGGAACTGGGAAATTGATGTTGCTGATCGAGCAAGTGCAACATACACTCAGAAAGTTCTGCCAGAGTCTATTTAGGTTTTTTAGGTGCAAAAGACAACGTTACTGAAATCTGTTATGCATTATGATGATGTTGGTAATGGTGCTTCT